GTATGAACAGGTGCGCACTCCTTCCTTTACCGGAAAAGTGCGTATTCAATGATCCAGCGTTTTGAGAGTGTTTCGGGAAATCCGTGCGTTCTTCTCAAACATGGCATTCTCATGTTCGCTCGTGACCGCGCGAACCCCAAACGCCGCTACCTGTTTTATCCGACTGAATTCGTCATCTTTCGCCATAGACGCTTGGAAGCGCCAACACATGTGTTGCCACGCTCTTGCGTGCAAGTGTGGAAGTACAGGTGCCCTGTGTCCCAGCCATCTGGGCTACTAGATTATAGACTCATGGGCCCCCCTGAGCCGCGACAGTCTTCACGAACTGAGCGTGCCCGAAGCGTGGCCAGTTCCGAAGTGCTCCAGGCTGCTTGGTTGTGCCTGCACAACGGTAGTGCAAACCAGGAAGTCGTGAGTGCAAGACTGTAAGAACCATATGGGTAGATTTGGGACGGTATCTTCTTCCTTGGGGGGGTCATTTCGGCTGCACTGCTTAGTCAGTCTGGCTAAGCAGGGCAGAGGGGCATTTACGCTTGGCACATGCTGTCCCCAATGTTTTCCGTTCAGGGCCGAATGCAGCACAGGCAAAGTTGCACCTTAAATGAACCATGTGGGTCCATCTACGCGTTCGTATCCCTTAGACCTTGAGCGCTGCACACGTGCTGTCATCTTCCAAGGTCTTCAGCCGTAAGTAGCTTTGGACCTGATTTTTCTGAGCATTCAGTGAGCCAGAGCGTTCGATTGGTTGGCTGGTAGAGGGCAAACAGGCAGCAGCATCAGCGTCTCCTCTCGTAATTCAAAAAAGTCGCCGCCACAGGCCGAAGCATGCGTGATTGCGCGATCTGAAATTAGCCTTGCTTGGAGAGGATGCAGCAAGCGAGCCAGCATTCGATTTCGCACAGCAGCGCGGAGTCGGCAAAATAAAAGCCGTCCCGCCCATTCTGGAAATCCCGACACAACAGCAAGTATAGTGGATCGCCGTTATGTGACAAACTAGTCTGGGTCCTGTGTTACGACAGGCTGCAGTTGCAGGGCCTTGTCGTGAAAGCAGCGATGAAGCCAGAGCAAGAAATATTGCAGGGATAAACGGGAAATTGAGGGAGGAGTGAGAAGCAGAGGATGCGGAGGAGAAAGTTGATCAGAATCGAGGTGCAAGTGACTCATAAGCACGCGCATCATATCCGACGTCCAACGCCGGCCGAGGAATGGTGTGTTCGTGTGTGTCGGGATGAGCGCTCTCTTAGTTCCATTCGCGACAGTAATGTCATTTCGTATCGTGTAGCTGTCAGGTGACCACCTGGCGGCGTTGGCTCTGGCAGCTTTGGTAGTCGTAGTGGTGGTCGTTCTGGCTTGCAGTGAGAATGGCAATGGAAGACGAAGTCGAGGACGAAGACGAGCAGAAAGCAGCAGGAGTGTAAGTACATGGGTGTCGCAGATAGTATGCCCAGGTGTTTGTGTCGCGCGACCACCGCGCTACGAGCATGCTTGCGTCCATACGTTGTGGTCGTTGCTTCTTGAGGCTGTTTGGGCCGCAAGACTCGCGGCACATCTCGGGCACAGCAACGCTTATGATCACCGCATCGAGCACTAAGTACGAAAATAGTTGTCGCGAGGGATCCCCACGCGACTCGCCGATTTGGACCCACTTGGAACACTTGTGACATCGAGTCCAAATCGTTTTCCAAAGGAAGCATCCGCTTCATTATGTTTAGACCTGCCTCGAATTATTGAATCGTTTCGCTCACTCCGCCGGCCCACTTCGCATCACTCTGGCTGCATGGTGGTGCGCTCTTGCCCATGGGGAACGGTTGGGCAGACAGGACTGTCCTCGAGGAGATGTTTGGAGATGTGGCTCGCACCTTGTCGAAGAAAACCCATAGACTGCCCCAGAGGGCGCCAAGATGGCTCAAGAGAGCTCCAGCAGAGTTTCGAGACGCACCGGAGTTGTGGGTCAGAGTCCTCATGGATGCTTCTTGGGGTCTCTTCGGTGGGCTCTCGGGAGCCTCTGGGAAGCAGTTTTGAGGCATCTGGGGAGCCTCTTGGGGGCTTCTTGGGAGCCTCTTGGCGCTTTCTGGGGGCCTGTTGGCGCTTCCTGGAGGCCTGTTGGGGGTCTTGGGAGCCTCTTTGGGGGCCTATTGGGGCCTCCTGGGAGGCTATTGGGGGCCTCTGGAGGCTTCCTGGACACCTCTTGGGGCCGAGAAATCGAAATGCCTCGGGTCCCCCCTCTGGGACCCCTCTTGAGGCCATCTTGGGGCCGTCTTAGAGGCCTCTTGGGCCGTCTTAGGGTCCTCTTGGACGCTTTTTGTGCCGTTTTGGAGCGATCTTGGGGCCTCTTGGGCCGTCAAAGGCGGTCGGCAGCTCGAAAAGGCGGTACCGCCAAAATCGTCCGAAAAGCGAAGCGCAATCAATGATGTTTGCATCTTGGGGGCCTCTCGAAGTCCTCTTGGAACCCTCTTGGAGCGTCTTTGGCGCTTCTTGGGCCGTCTTGGGACCAACGCGGGCCATCTTGGAACGCTCTTGGCCTGAGGCCGTGGAACGTGCCACCCTTTTGGCGCCTCATTGGAACGATCAAGGGGGTCCTGAGACCGCGCCAAGGAGTTCTGGCATCTCTGATCCGAATTTGCCTGGACCTTGCAGGAACATTGCCAGGACTTTGCCAGGACCTTGCCAAGGTATTTTCCGTCCGCGGACCCCCAGGGGCCGCCACGCGCGCGCGAACTGGAAACACGATCAAATTCTTACCAGAGATTTTAGCACGCCTCTGGCCCGTTGGGCCAGCGAATTTGCAACCAGGTGCGAAAAATGCTGTTGTGGCGAGGAAGTCCCGCGCGATTCCCTCGCTTGGACCGCGCTCTGGCGCGTTCGGGAATGACATCAGGTGGCAAGCTTCCATCACGGCGAAGTACGAGAAGTGGCCGTCGTCGTCGGAGCTCCCGTTGGCGATTTGCGCACGGGCCCACGCGACCTCGAAATCATGTCCGAGCGAGCGCGACTACAATAATACTGCTCAGATTCCTCACATCAATCGCTGCACTGTTTGGGCGTTGGCGCCTGCAAATCGCACCTGGTGGTCTGCACGGTCAGGTCAGCCCATGTGCAGTAGGACTCGAGTAAAAGATGGCACAATATTGAACGATGCGATCAGTTTGTCCCCCCCCCCTCGCCGCCGTAACAACTGGCCCGATGCATTAGTCACGATTCCGCCAGGGCGGTGTTACATGATCCCAGCGAAGCAACCTAATAGCAGGATGTTGAGATGCTCCAGAGAGGGTCCTTAAAGGCTCTTGAGAGGCTCTTGATCACCTATTGGGAGGTTCCTGAGGGGCTCCTGAGAGGCGCCTGAGGGACTCCTGAGAGGTTCCCTGAGAGGCGCCTGCGAAGGTCCTGAGAAGGCCCCGATCGCATGTTGCGACTGATTGAGAACAAACAGGGCTCTCGCTGGCGACCTCCGCACAATTTACTCAAGAAGGTGGTTCCCGATGTGGACTTCCTCGCGATTCAATAACGAATGCCCAGGAGCTGCCCTCTGTATATATATATATATATATATTCAGATATGCATAAACAAAAACTTGACGGCAGCTAGCAAGAAAAGACTGCGACCCTTGTGGGAGAGATCATGGACCCCTGTATCCATGTCATAACCTTCAAGTGAGACGTTGTTAGGGAGTGCGACTATTTTGCGAAGGAGTGAGTTTGTACTCGCGGGCGCGAAGACGACAACGTCCCTCGCATCGTGCTGACTGCTTTGCGCCGAATGCCATTACAGCTCAGAGGCGGTTGCGGGTTGGGTCTATCGCCGTTTGGGCTCAAGTTTCAGCAGGTGTTTGTCGTTTGCGCCATGGCGAGCCCTAGAGTTGACCGATTGGGCTGTAGTGTTAAGACCCGCCGCGGGCATGTTCGTAGGCAGGGCCGGCTTCTCGCGTTACTCACCTCGGGCTTTTGCCTGGCGGCTGTGTTTTTGGCGCGATGCTCCGCCTTCGCTGGTGCAGCAGGGCCGTGCCGCGGTGGTTCGCGACGCCAGGCGAACATTGTCGGCCGAAGACAGGGCTCGGGGCAAGCTGCCTCATCCTATCAAGGCGTGAGTTGGCACGAGGCCAGCCACAAGTGGATGGCCAGCTTATCAGACCCCGCGAAGGGCGTGGTCATCGCTCTTGGGATCTTCGAAGTCCAGACGGACGCGGCCAAGGCCTTCGACCAGGCCAGTCTGGCAATACTGGGACCTGGAGCCTCCACCAATTTCCCTGCGAGCAAGTACGAGGCGGCCGACATCGAGGAGGCCGGGCGGCGCGTCAAGAGCTTTTGGGAGCCGCGGGCGTCTACGAAGTACAATGGCGTCTACCGGACAAGAGGCAGCACATTATGGCACGCCGAGATCAGTTTGGGTAAACACAGGCAGTTCATAGACCTCTTCGAGACCGAGGAGGCGGCCGCTCGTGCACACGACGAGGCCGTCCGGGACACGAAGGCTCCAAAGGCGGTGCAGCTGACGATGCTCAACTTCAAGCAGCCAGACGACTACTTCGACGAGGACACGTGGGAGGACGAGCAAGCCCCACGAGAGGCCTCATCGGTCTTCATAGGGGTCGATTACCATTCACCCAGCGGAAATTACCGTGCCAAGAAGGGACTCAGACCTCTGGGGCTCTTCCCGACGGAGATCGAGGCAGCCCGCGCCTTCGACAAGGCATCGCTCTCGAAGGGCGGACCGACGAATTTTATGCCACCGCCCAGCATTGCCGAGGAGCGGGCTTGAGGTAGTCGGCGGTGGAGCCAGCATTTGCGCGTTCCTTCCACTCCAGCTTTCTACATGTCTCAGCTTTTCCTGTTCCCCCCGCTCGTCCATCCTGCGCAGACGTTGTCTTCCCCATCTGCTCGCTCGGTTCCACCAGTTCCCACCACTCTACGGCTAGCCGCTCGCGGCTGGCTTGTCTGTGGGACGTCCCCCGTTGGAAGAGTCGCTTGAAAAGGGTTCGCATACGGGGCGCAGGAGTAGAAAATTACACCGAGGATCAGTGACTTTCAGTGAATTTGCCAAATGGGGCTGCCCAGTGGCCATGCCCTACTTCGTTAATGGAAATGCTAAAGCGAGGCGCCGCGATACAGACTGACATGTTTCAGGACAGCCACGCCGCCGGACACAGGCGTGCCATAAACCAAGTCATTGACGATTGGAGTCCACAGAGTTGTTTCAAAACTCTCTGCAAGGTGCGGACAACGATATCAGCCCCTTCCGAGTTTCTTGGAGCACCCAGGGAGAATCCTTGTTCTGCACATCCACCATGCAAGAAGAATCGACGAGCGCAAAAGGGCCATTCATGGCCCGAGCGAGCCACAATATCTTCAAGGTGAGCTTTGATCCCGAGGTCACAGTTACCTGAGATTTCTATGTGTTCTGCTCGTTGCCTCCAGAAGCCACCTTTGGGCAAGGAACGATTTGGAATGAGCTGGCCTAGAGCTAGGTAAAATTGTGTTGTACCGCTGTAAGCACGCAGGCCTCCACGGCTTCTGCACGTTCGCCTTGAAGAGCATAGGCTGGAAAGTGACCAACACCCGTGTTAAGAGATGGGGCCCCGTGCAGCCAACCCCGCGCCGAGTCGTCCGCCAAAGGATGCTGGTGATCCATCCTCTCCTCTGCTCTCCGCGTCCTCTGGGCCGAGCCGTCGAGCCTCAGCACATGGCATGGTTTGTCTGCGACGTTGGAGGTCGGGAGGCTTCCTCCTCCGCCTCCTCCTCCTCCCCCTCCTCCTCCTCGTCCTCCTGGTAAGGCTGAGGCTGGGGATTGCGCGCAGGCGGTAGTCCCAGCTGGCCTGAACTGCTCCCCCCCAGGCCCCTGGGAGTCCAGGGCGGCTTCAGCACCCCTACCCATTGGACGTTGAAAGTGGAGATTTCTGGATTCCCAGATCCCAATCTACTTCTAGCGCCTTCCTACTTCAGCAATCGGCATGTTTTTTCTGTGTCTTGTGATTCTCTGGGAGGGCCTGAAACCAACCTACTTTATCCGCCTTCCTACTTCATGCTTCCACCTACGTCTTCCGACCGATGGATACCATGGGGTGCGGAGCGCCCCTTGAGAGGCGCCGCCAGTGGCGACGCGAGGCCGACGGTAGCACGGTGAATCGCCCAGGGCCTACAAAGGTCAAGTCGGGCATGTCCCTCTACAGGAGGAATTTTCAAAAATAGTCACAAACATAGTAGGGGGGCGATTGTTCGACCATTTGTGATGATGTCTGAGCATGTGTTGAAGATGCTTCCGCCTGTCTTCCTGCATCCGCCTGCAGGGGGACATGCCCGACCCATGGCAAAGGCCGCGGGCCCCCCTCGGGGGGTTGGCGGGGGCCGTGCGGCCCAGGGCGGCCCGGAGGGGCCTCGCCCTCGGCTCGCCCCCGCCCCCGGCGGGAGGCGGCGGAAGCAGAAGCGAGGCAGCAGCACCCTTCAAGTAAGGCATCGACTGCAGAATTGAGTTCGGGGGCGGCCAAGAGGGGAGTGATGACTAGGGGGGGTAGATTTCATGGCGTGGGCCATAATATTTCCTCAGATTTCATGGCGCCTCTTCTTGTTTCATTATGTCCTCAGCCCCCCGCCCCTGGGCCGCGCACATGCCGCCGGTCATGATTTGCGCCCCCCCTTCTTGGACGCCCCCTTCTTGGACGCCCCCGATGAGTTCACCAACACTGATTTTTCGGGTCGAGACCATGGAATGCGCAGAACTCCGCCTCCTCCTCCTCCTCCTCCTCCTCCTCCTCCTCCTCCTCCTTCCTCCTCCTCCTCCTCCTCCTCCTCCTCCGCCTCCTCCTCCTCCTCCTTGTCCTCCCTCCTCCTCCTCCTCCTCCTCCTCCTCCTCCTCCTCCTCCTCCTCCTCCTCCTCCTCCTCCTCCTCCCCTCCTCCTCCTCCTCCTCCTCCTCCTCCTCCTCCTCCTCCTCCTCCTCCTCCTCCTCCTCTCCTCGATCGGCCACTGCGGCCCGCCCGTGCCCGCCTCCGAGAGAGTTGCCGGGGTGCGCAGCACTGGGCCCCGTCGGGCGCGCGCATAGGTGGCCGCGGCCAGGGGGCAGAGAGCTGTCCTGCTCTGCGGGGGCGGCGCGAGGGCGCGAAGACGACCCGCATTGCGCAAGGGCGCGAGGGCGCGAACCCAGACGTGATCGCGTCCTAAGAATAAACCGGACGGCAAGGTCTTCGTTCTCCTCGGCCCCTGGGGGCCCCCTCGCCGGGCCCGGGGGCCGTCAAAAAACGACGCGGGACGAAAAGCCGGCCCCAGGGAAAGGGTCTGGACTTCTGGGGTGTTACCACCACCCCCGCCCCCTCTTCCTCCTCCTCCTCCTCCTCCTCCTCCTCCTCCCTCCTCCTCCTCCTCCTCCTCCTCCTCCTCCTCCTCCTCTTCCCCTCCTCCTCCTCCTCTCCTCCTCCTCCTCTCTCCTCCTCCTCCTCCTCCTCCTCCTCCTCCTGCTCTTCCTCCTCCTCCTCCTCCTCCTCATCATCATCATCATCATCATCATCATCATCATCATCATCATCATCATCATCATCATCATCATCATCTTCCTCCTCCTCCTCCTCCTCCTCCTCCTCCTCCTCCTCCTCCTCCTCCTCCTCCTCCTCCTCCTCCCCCTCAACTTCCTCCTCCTCCTCCTCCTCCTCCTCCTCCTCCTCCTCCTCCTCCTGCTCCTCATCCTCCTCCTCCTTCTCCTCCTCCTCTTCTCGTCCTCCTTCACGGTCTTACCCTCCTCCGGGTATGTTGCCTGCTTCGGTTTTGAGAAGGTGCCCCCATGATTTTCAGGAAATCCAGACGGCCTCCAGAGCACCCCATCACGAGGTCCAGGCGGCCCCAGGGGTTCCAAATGGAGCGACAAGCTGGGGGGACCTTGGCCGAGGGCACCTTTAGCAACCCCCGAACTTTTGGGGATGCCGCACTGAAAAAATCAGAACGTCGCATGGCTGGGAAGGTGACCCGCGTGGCGCGCACCGCGCGTCGGCGAAGTGCAGAGTTACGTTGGGTTGGGTTGGGTTGGCGTCGTGTCGACCGGCGGCGACCCCGCCGCTGGCGTTCAGCGTTGAACGCCGCTGGCGACCCAGAGTAGGTCGATGTTGAACGATGTGACGTCTCGGAAACGGCCGATCGTTCAAGGTTGAACGAATCCCGCAGTGTCAGAAACCATCGCTGAAGTCGGCACGACACGAGCCTGCCGTAGGTGGCCAAGTCCGCCGCCCCCTCAAAGGAGGACCCTTGGCGGGTCGGGCGGGCCGGGCCCTGACGGGCGATCGGGCGGGCTGGGCATTGGTACGAATTTCGCTGGTTGCGAAGAAGTCTCAGGCGAGGAACGGGCCCTGAGTAGGCTGTGAGGAGAGCCCAGGCGAGAGCACGATTCCTGTGCGTCGAGAGCGCAGCTCCCTGGTCTGTTGTGAGGAAGTCCCAGGCAAGGGCGCGATTCCTGAACAAGTTGTAAAGAAGTCTCAGGCGGGAGCCGTTGTTGTTGCAACCCAGTGTGAGGTTCAGGATTTCCCCAGGGGGGACTTCAATTGGAAAGCACAGTGGACACTGGTGGGTGAGGGATCAACAATACGCTGGCTCTGGCCCACCACGCAGTTCCCATTCCCCTAGCGTCGACGTCCCTTGCTTTTCCGAGCCTCGCGCCCCGCGGAGTGGAGCGACACGCTATCCACTCGCATGGCATAGCGTGTCGCCGGGGCCGCCGCCACGACACGCTGAGCAGGTGTTCCCGACAGGGCTGAATCGACCACAGGGGGACGAACAATACAACTGGCCCGCAGTCCTCGCCGTTGCCCCGCACCTCGACACGGGCGGCCTGAAGCAGGCACTTCTCGTTCTCAACGAGGCGATCGAGAACATCAACAGGCTAAAGGCGCTGCACGCGGTCGTTGCCAGCTCCGCGGGAGGCCGGCTGGGGCGGCGGGGGCACGCGTGAGAAGAGCTGGGGGCGTGCGAGAAGTGCGAGCAGGTGGGGGAGGGCGAGCAGTGGGTGCGGGAATGGCGTGTCGGGGTCGGGCGTCAGGTGTTTTGAGTCCCCGAGCCGACCTCCTCCACCTCCACCTGGGCATAGGCAAGCCCGCTCAGTCCTGGGCACCATCCTGACACGATCTCCGAGCCGCGTCTGGCCGTGGTGAGGAGGAAGGCCCCGGGAAGCCCAGAAACGTAAGACAATTGTGTCTTCCTTCTCCTCCTCTGCTCCTTTTCTTTATGAATAACTCCTCCCTGTCGCACCCCGAGGCCAGTCGGAACGGCGGGCCGGGCGTTTCGCCCGAGACTTCTTCACCACTTCTTAGCCTCGAGCTGAAAAATTAACAACAACTTCAAAAATAAATGGTGGGTCGCTTCCAAAATGCGGCTCTCGCATTAGCGCCGCACACATTCGTTTCACACATGTGCAAGGGGTTCACGGATTGAGGGCGGGTCGTTTTCAAAATGTAGTTGTCGCGTTAGCGCCGCGCACATTCCCCAATCAGAGCTTGCCTCTGTAGGGGTCCTAGAGGATTCATATGTATAGGTGACCTACGTCGCTGATTTCTGTGGCCAGGCCCGGGGGTGCCCGGGGGTGCCCGGGTGCCCGGGGGTGTCCGAAGGTGCCTGGGGGTGCCCGGGTGCCGGGGTGCCCGGGTGCCCTGGGGTACCCGGGTGCCCGGAGGTGCCCCGGGGTGCCCGGAGGTGCCCGGAAGTGCCCGGGTGCCCAGGTGCCCGGGTGCCGGGGTGTCCGGGTGCCCGGTAGCCCTATAGCCCTATAGTCCGATAGCCCTATAGCCATGTAGCCCTATAGCCTTATAGCCTTAATAGCCCTATAGCCCAATATCCTTAAAATCCCTAGAGCCCTATAGCCATATAGCCCTACAGCCCTCTAGTCCTATAGCCCTGTCGCCCTATAGCCTTACAGCCCTATAGCATTGTAGCCCTATAGACCTGTAGCCCCACAGCCCTGTAGCCCCATAGCCTCATAGCCCCATAGCCCCATAGCCTTATAGCCCTACAGCCTTCTAGCCCTATAGCCCCAT